CGGTCGAGACGGGGCGCTTCCGGATCACCGGTCGACGCCGGGCTGTGTGATGGTGAAGGAAGCAGTTCGCAAGATTTGCTGTTCGCTTGGTCAACGAGTCACATGGGTAAGCATGCTGTCGGCACAGTCGTGTTGGATAGGTAGTGCATATTTCACAGACTTGGCTTTTTGCACATATCTTACTTCTTTAGGTTTCGGCGTATGTCCCAACTCGCAGTGTAACGAATGCAAGCCAATCTAAATCTGCCATAACGCACCCATGATCCTGTAAATGGCAACTTTGTTAAGCTTCTCAACGCTGGCGCTGTAGCATTTGGCTCTGTTTACACGTCCTGCGCATAGAGTAACGCGAATGATGGTATTTAGCTGCCCTCACAGCAGGCCTGGCCGATTTCTCCACAATCTTCGACACAAGCGGCATCACTCTTCCCAAGTCCAGTCTTTGCATCGCTGCGCCGGCAGAAATCTCGCAAATCGATTCCATCACGTTCAGCCGTGAAAAGACCCTAGCCCCCGCACCCACCGGACGTTGAGACCGCCGGGAAGACGGGAGGCTCGTGAAACTCAGGTCATGGACTCTATGACACGGATGCCAATGACTAGCCAAGATGAACGAAGACCTCTGTGCATTTAAGCTTCGGACGGGCGTCACCCGGCTGGTGGGTGCCATCAAAGCCAGTTTCAAACTTCCGGGACAACCGATGCAGGGGTTCCTGAGCTGGGTTCCTACTTTCTCGATGCTTCGCAGGAACAAGAGATAAGACGTTTGCAAGGGCATATCATCGAACGGCAGTTTTTCTATTCATGCGGGCCTGAAGTGTATTATAAAGGCCGAGTCACAGCATGGAAAGGCAGGAGGTGTTGACATACATGACTCTCACCGAAATGGCTACAATCGGGCCTCTCGTAGTCTAGTTTGTGTCTTCAGTTATCCGAGCTTTCCGGTCTGCTGAACCTGCTCAAAATCTTCAACCAGTGGCCAGCGAAATGAGCCGTGGTGATCTACTTTCCTGCCTGCACATCGCACGGAGAGACATCAGCAAGTACTAGGGCTCCAACTATCTAGGCAGCGGACGAAGTGGTGGTAAGCTGTTAGTGCTAGGACTCTTTAACGAATCATTAAAGCTTGGTTCCTACTTATTGCATTCTTTATTGGGTAGATTGACCTCCAATGTCTGACAGGCTGAGATGTCACCAGTTGAAGGACTGTGAGCTGGGAAGCCCTCTACCAGCCAGTATATATTCCATTCTCGGACGGTCTGTATACACATAGCATACCTCGGGTGCACCATCCGGGCGTATGCTTCAGGGCAAAAGGTGCTGGTCCTACATCCAATCATTGCTCCTGGATTCCACCACCCAGTCCCGAAGAGACAGACGTTACCGTTCCACAGCGCCTCGCCATCAAGTCCCGGGAAGAACTCACGCCTGGCATCCCGTGATCCGAGACGACCATCCAGATTGTAACCCTCCCCTGCATCTTGCCGCGCCCGGGCCTGGAGGCGACGCCGCAGCTCCACACCTAGTGCATCCTCGAGCGCGGGGTTCTCTACAGTACAAAGACGGGGTCCATCGTTTCGGCGCTAGAAGCGCTCAGTCTGTGTCGGATACGACGCTTCAGGTCCTCCCGGGCAGCGTCGAACTCTATGGCGCAGGAACACGAATAGACAACCCAACCCCATTCGTCGCGGTAAGTCTCCTTCGGGTGAGAGATTCTCCCAGTCCTCCTTGCCTTGAGGTTGCTGCTCCTAGCTGAACTGCGACAATGAGGCTATCTAAGATTGGTAAACGGCCGTGGTTGCAATTGTTGTTGTGGCGCGATGTCAAGAGACTGGCGAGGGGCCAGTGACCGTTGATTCTGACTGAAACTTGGTGACTACGAGTAAGATTCACCGACGGAGGTAATGCATGCTGTTGAAATAATTCCGATGAGCGGCTGGGGCAGACGTGAACGAAGTGTCACTGAGTGTGGAACCCAGGGACCATAACGTTGGATTGCATCATTTAAGGCACGCTGGTGAGCTGGCCGCAATAATCAACGGTCCTTGACAGGCAAAGGGCTCAAAAGTGTCGGTCTTGAAGGACGCTTAGGTCTTCACTTGTTACAAGACTGGGAAAATGGTCCACAGGCCAGGCTTGCGGCGGGCAAAATGTTCCACACCACAAGGCTGGATTCACAACGGTCAAGCCTGGAATTTTGCTGTGCTTGCGCGCCTGGGCAACCAGAACCTCCCAATTGCATACAAGCGCCATCTAACCCCCAAGACAACAGTGTGCCGTGCTGTGCATGGCCGGCTCAGTCGGGTATAGCGACGAACTTGTCTGGCACTGGCGGCATCTTTATCGAAAATTTCTGGCACGCGTCCCATCTCTTGGCCGCTTGCTGGAGATTCGAGTCCTTCCTCATTTCACCCACCCCCAGGCCCAAGGTCACAGCAACGTCCATGTAGCTATTGGCTATGGCCCAGCGATCGGACCACGGTTGCCATGCCGTGCGGCCAATGACCAGGGGTCTGGCCCTTGGACAGGGTCTGGATTTCTCGTGTTGGTGGCCGGCATCGAGACCGAATAGGAAGGCGACTGAACAGACCCCGCCAAACCCATGTCACCTACACGGTATCCCCAGCGAAATCATGCGAAGCGATAAGTTGCGGCGTCGGTTCAGACATGAGGTAGGCATTTCTAAGAAGGTCGTTCGCATTGAGGGGGCCTGCAGATTCGGATAGCTCCCGAGTCAGGGGTTTGGAGGTCGGTTCACCGGCGGTATAAAGACTAGATGTCTTCGAGGTGGGATCGACATGTAACGCCGGCCGAGATCTTCAGTCAAGTGGACCATTTCTGTTCGTTGCACGTGCTTCCAGTCTGTCCAAATGCAGTCCAAGTTTCTCTGGATCGCTGCGGCTTCGGCCGCCACGGCTGCGGCTCAGGTGCCCGCCCGTCTTTGCGGTACCGCCCAGCCGACCATGGACGACCTCGTTATCGCCGCCGGCCTCGCCGCCGAGGGCAAAGACAACCGCAGGGGGCTTCATCCAGAGGACCCGATTGTCGTGCCGACTCTCTTCCACGTCCTTGCCATCAACGAGACAGTTGCAGGAGGCTATCTTACCGTAAGGATCGATATGGGTGCCCGCACAAGTCGAGCACAGCAAGACGTGCAATACTGACATCCGCTCAGGAGAAGTCGCTCCAGGACCAGCTCGACGTGATGAACGCTGACTTTGGCCCTTCCAATGTCATTTTCAACCTCACCGCCACCACGCGTACCATCAACCGCCGCTGGGCCCAGGATCTCGACCAGATCCCCATGAGACGCGCCTTGCGCCAGGGCGGCCAGGAGACTCTCAACATCTACTTCATGCCCTACGTCAGCGGATATCTCGGATACTGCACGTTCCCTAACTTCTGGGACGCTGGGTCTGATGAGTTCATCTACGACGGATGTGCCGTCCTGTCCGACTCCCTCCCTGGAGGTGCTCTGGCGCGTTACAACCTTGGCCGCACTGCCACGCATGAGATTGGCCACTGGTTCGACCTCTTCCACACCTTCTACGGCGGCTGCGGTTGCGTCGGTGATATGATCCACGATACCCCTGCCATGCTCAACGCTACTGGCGGCTGCCCCGTTGGCAAGGACACTTGCCCGGACCGCCCAGGTCTGGACCCCATCCATAACTACATGGATTACTCCGATGAGTATGCTTACCTTTGCCCGTTTTTTCTGACTTCTACTAACGGTTGCAAGCGCGTGTATGAATGAGTTCACTCCTGGCCAAAAGTAAGATGCCCTGCCTTCATAAGGGTTGCCACGTATTGAACGTATGCTGACATGCCTACCCGTAGCTTCCGCATGCGCAGCGCCTGGTACAACATCCGCACAAAATAGATTTTGGACTAGGCAGACCGTGATCTGCATATGTCGAACTACTGTGGATTGGCCTTCAAAAATAACATGTACATGAGAGATGCGGTGAGTTCAGTTAGAGCCTCTTCGGTGTAATTGTGCTTCGGAAACTACAATCAGGTCTTCTTTTCAAAAGAAAACAGCACGTGTATATAGAATTGACGATTGATGAGGCATATCAACCTGTAGGATTGGTGGACGGTGACCACTACTCTCGGGGTGTGGGGATGTGGTTGATTATGAAACAAATAGAAGCACTGCATCGACTACTACACAATATGCATTGCATAGTTCCGATGTATACATGGCTGTTTTCTTTGGGGTTCATCACTCTCATGACAGAATCGCTCTGCTCAGGAAGTTTATTCATGTAAAGTTTTAGGGAGAGTCGCTTGTTGATTCCAGAGGCAAAACTTGGTGATTGAGGGTTTATATGCGTCAACATATGAGCCTTACCGCAGGGCTCGCGCCAGTCCTATGTGACTGTTGTCCAGAAGGGTGTATGAGAACGGTCTTCACCGGGGTTTGCTAGGCGGGGTATGCCATACCGAGGCCAACAGGAGTATGGGAAGTATGACAACATACTTTTCATCAATTATTAGTACATAGACAGACGAAAACATCTGCCCAGCCTGTAAGTCGAATCACTGGGCGACAATCCACAGCTTTGTCAAGTTGCCGGAGGACTTGCCTCCGATTCGTGAACAGCGAAATAGTTTGTTGGGGAGATCCATGCTTTGCTCTTACAAAAACCTAGTCTATTCGACCTTCTTCGTCAAGTCAAAAGACGAAGACGCAGGAGCGCGAGGAGACAAATGCACTGCAAATCACGAGATCAGCAGGTGGGCTGAACGCTATTGAGCCACGCAGCTGCCACCGCGAATCTTCTAACCGGGAGGTACGCTGTGCACGACGAAGGCTCAAACGGTTGCTTCGAAACGGAGACCTGTTCCGTATTGAGGCAACGTGAACAACCCTTGACTACATGTCTTTACCGTACCCGACGGTACACGACTACTGCTATGAACAAGGATCGGCCGCTGCCTCGAGAAGAGAAATGATGCAGGCTAATCATCGCGACCTAAGTACCAGCAAGTTTGTAAATGAAAGCGTCAGTTCATCTGTATCTACGATTACAGCTTCCTATACGTCAGACCACAACTCAGATTGTTCTAACCAAAGGAGGATTGTTAAACATGGTTCCGCTCTGAGAACAACGAAGGGTTTCTTCGCAAATCATGGGTCTTCCTGTTTGAACAGGCGAGGGCGTCGCCTCCATGCCGCTTGCCTCAGCGTCTGCCCTCGGGGCTGACGATTGGCAGGTCCGTCTTCTCCCGTAGTGTCGGAATCAGACATCTCGACATCTATGTCCGCCGCCGCATCTTCCTTGTCATCGTACTTGGGGATCTCCGGTTTGCAAAGCCGGGACGACATTGCCTAAACCTCGCAAACTCTATACGTTACCCTCACTCGCTCGCTGAAAGACTTCCCTCAATCGCTGCAAATATTGTTCTCGCTCATGGACCTTACGCTCGATGAACCTCGTCGTCCCAGCGGACCAGTACGGCGTTACTGATCGCTCAAAATCTTTCCAGCCCTTCACAGCTTCTGGGCCGTATCTAGGCTGAATGTGTTGCAGGAATAAATTATAGAAGCCACTCAAGCTTTCGATGGCGTTGAAGTACCAGAAGCTTCCGAGATCCCAACTCTTTCTCATCATCTCAGCGTAGGACGTGATGCTTCCACAAGCCTCCTCTTCAGCCTGGAACGCAGATATAAACTCATTGTGTCGTTCTCTGTAGTCGACTAAGCTGTCACCCGTTATTTGATCGACAGCTCTGTTAGTTAACCAGTAAGGGGGCTGAAGCATCTCTACTGGCAAGGTGCATGCCCACTCAAGGTCGATGACGCACGTAACATGGCCATCTCCGTCCACAAATATATTACTCGGGTGAAGATCCGTGAGCATGAGAATAAAAGGGCCATGCCTCCCTTCCTTTTGCGTGAAGTGTGGCATGAGAGCTCGCATGATAGTCAGGGTAGAGATCTGCGACTCTCCGTCAGATTGATTGAAAATCGAATTCGGTTGGTAGCGAATCCGATTATCATGACATGACAGCCTATCCAGCAAGTACGTGTCGGTGGTGGCGTAGGTCAGATTTCGTGGGATTTCCGTTGATATCTCGTCGTTTTCAAGCTGATGGAGGTGAAGTCCCAGAGGTCGATTTGCCAAAGAGACTACCCCATAGTTATCCATTGTCAAGGAGCCAATCCGAGGAAATTGAACCTGCGCCAGTGATAGCATAAACCGAGATATGTCTCTGTAAAGGGTCAGTCGTTTGCTGACATCGTCGTGTACCATGTCCCAACTAGCAGACAGCATGCACCAATTCTCCACGTAGTCCATTACGATGTATCCCGACGTGAGTTTCTGGCGGTGCGGATGAACGACATAGCTGGAAATAGGAGGCCAGCCGAGAATCCAACGTATTGACCAACGCATGTACCAGCTCAGCCGCGAAAGAAGGGGTGCTCGGAAGAGGGATGTGAACTGGGGACAAATTTCTTATTAGCGTTATCATCACCAGTCTCGACAAGGGCTCGTTACACTTGATTCACCTGGAAAGCAAAAACCCCAGAGGCGCGGAATCGGAATTGACGGGCAATGAGCTTGTATCCAGGCATAGGTGGCCACCTCACAACGGAGCTTCTCCTCAGCATTGCCTTGGTTTGTCGATTCGCCTATCTTGTAGGGCAAAGGGAACCTGATGGCGATTCTTTTTTCCCCACAAACGTATATAGGAATGCATACATTGAAGCTTCCGTGGAGCCATTCGTTGATCCATGGGGTCCGACAACTGTCTCTCGGGATCCCTAAGTGATGTGATACGATGGTTTGGATTTCACTGGCGTGAGCCTGAAGAAATTGATAGAAATCGAGCCGCTTTTCGGGGTAGGATAGCTTTCGGAGGACGTCACTTTCGTCGTCAATGGCTTCTGAGAGGGTGATTTTGCCAGAAAGCAGGGGACGCGCTTCTAATTGCGACATCTGGACGATGAAGGGGAGAGTTTATGTCGCGACGTGTATCTGACCAGACAACGAGCAAGGTCTCGCTTTGTCGCGTTTCAGACGGACGGATCTACAGTTTCTTGGCATGCAGTCGTCAAGTACCTTGATTGGATCGAGTTCTCCACTTCCCCAGAGGAACAGCCAAGCACCGCTCGTCTTTAGAACCGCGCAGCACCCCCTCATCAGCAATGCCCATTCACAGCAATACCCATCTACAGCGATACCCATCTACAGCAATACCCACCTACAGCAATACCCATCTACAGCAACACCTGTTGACAGCAACACCTGTTGACAGCAACACCAGTCGTGCAGCAATGTCTTTGATCATCCATCAGCTCAGAAACATTCTTAAAGAGACCACCCAGCAGCCGACCACGACCCCCCCCCCCACGGACGTAGACAGAATAGCCCTTTGGCACTTCAAATGACTTGAAATCTCCAACATTCTCCTCCAGTAGCATCCGATGCTTTGTTTCTTCATTGTAAATGGATATGTATGTCCCTTGAAACTTCATCGTCTCGTCGGTCGACCGGGGCCCGAAATGATGGCTTCGTATATCTCGTTCCTCACGTCCGGCGAGAGCGTCGTCACCCCTCTGGCGAGAATTGACAGTAACAGAATCAGGTGGTATAGGTTCTTATCTGACAACCATAGCTTGATTTTGGCCTAGGATTGGAGATGCGATGCCCGTTGGGCCGTTTCGTGAAGTAGGAAGAGGGTGAACGTGCCAGAACGCCTGCCGCAACATCGCCATCAACGCCTGCACAAGCTGCAACGGCAACCCAAGCTGTCATTGCGCATGCGAAAGCGCCCGCCGGAGGTAGTGCAGCCAATGCTGCCCCAACAGCTGCAGGACCTGCTGAGCTGTTCACAGCCTGTTGATGAATGCTGGAAGAGGTTAAGCTATGGGCGCCATGCTATGCCATCGCACAGCAGAAGGTATGCGACTGTGGGTGTGATTTCTACTGATTTCAACTCCATTTCTTGGGATATGTCACACTCATATGTTGTCGGCAAACGCTGATCAAAACCTTAAATCACGTAGTAGATGGCATTGCTGAAGCAGCTACTGAACTGAATGCATACTCGTTCGTCAAGGTTCAAGGACTCAAGAAAGTTCGGTTTAGCACTTGAGAAGTCTTACTCTACCGAGCACGTGGCACCCATGAACAGCCTGTACGATAAAGCCAGCTACATGTGAAATCTGATCGGTCAGGCAGGCAAATGGCCAAATCAACTCGCATATGTAACGACCACAAGATCAAAACACTTCTTAGACTTCCACCTTGGCCACCAAGAGCTTAGGCGATTGATATAAACAGCGACTCACACCACGAATTGTGAAAACAGCCTTTCTGAATAGGAGGACCGTACCAAAGTTTTCGGGGGCAGTGTTGTAATGATGTTCTAGACCATCAAGCTGAAGATGGTTGGATGGGACCAGGAGTCACAAGAGCAAGGCGGTTGCACCAGTATGTCACACAAACAAATCAGCCACGGAGTCGTGACTTACCACCAATCTGTTTTTCAACGTCGTTTCGCATTCCACCACCTTTGGCCTGGAGCCGTTTCCTGTAAGTACTCCGAATGTAAAGGCCAACAGGCAGCTCACACTCCCCGAGCCATACTGTACGGTCAATCAATTTGGGCTTAACCAAAGTTCGTGTCATCGTCGTATGCCGGAAGTGATGATGGCGGTGTCGCACACATTGTCCTCGGACCAACTTCATTGAAGTCGAAGATGAAGGACAAGCCTGTCTGAAGTCAGTTAACCTCATGCGCTGTACGCGTTCTGGATTGAAGAAGCTTCAGGCTCGTGTACAACCACTTACCCATTTTCGTCCACCCTCGAGTATGAGATAGTCAGCGAAGTTATCTTTAACTTCGCCCTGCGATTTCCAGACTGGACAATCCCCCTGGCTTCCGTGGAAGTAGACGCCAAACGCGCCAAGCGCGTCCCACCTAATGCATCTTCACCGCATCACGTTTCCGTTTCCGCGGGCAAGCCAAGCATCAAACTGATCCTGTACGGGGCGTCAAGCTGCATATTGCACAGTTTCTGGTTTTGGACACTACCTCAGCGTTTATTGGGCGTCATGCCGTGCCGCCTGGAATCGATTTCTCATTTCTTGGCGGTCATCAAGTGCCTCATAATGTCAGGTACGTCCTCTATAGAATACCAGCTGCCGATTCATTTTGCCCAACACATAGAACTGTATGATTCACATATGTCACACATCGACATGGTGTCCTCTTACTCACCAAGAAAAACAGCCCAAACAACGTCTGAAAGATGGGACCCATATCGTGCAAAAAGAGAAAAACCACTGAGCCCAGCTCAGGTGCCCCGTCCCCAACCGACCAGGCCGCCGCTCGCAAACAGTCAGCCGAGCCTCAAGCCTGCTGCCCAGCAACCTGCCGCCCGCACCTCTCCCAGACATCCAACCCCGTCAGGACAGAGGTACACAGCATGACAGTCCCAATGGTGCCAGGCTCGCTCGCGATCCACCCAACAACCGACCCCGGAATCATAAGATCCAGCGCATCCGCCGCCATGCGCCGCAGCAAAGCCCTGACCTTCCTCCGCACGCCAGCGCGGTGCGCCTTCCGCGCCGCAACACCCCTACGCAGCCTCTCCCGCTCGTCCTTCCAGTCCTCGCCGCCCTCGGGCGCCGGCGCGGGGCCGGGCACCGGCTCGCCGACGAGGTTGGCAATCTTGACGGCGCCGGAGAGCACGGCGCAGGCGAGGGCGCAGAACCAGAAGCGCTGGGCCTCGACGTTGATGGTGGCGGCGCGGGCGTCGCCGAAGAGGGCGGCGCCGGGGACGCCGAGCATGTCGGGCAGGGTGATGGTCTCGAGGAGGCTGAAGACGCCCATGAGGGACGAGGCGATGATGTCGAGGTGGACCGCGAGGGGCTGGGGGTCGGCGACGGCGCGGGCGAGCAGGGCGTAGGCTGTGGAGAAGGAGCGGGCAAAGTTGAAGGTGCGCATGGCGCGGCGCGTGATGTTGACCTGGGCCTTGAGCGGGTCGAGGGTTAGGGCGGTGAGGCGCGGGGAGGGCGGGGCGCTGGCGGTGAAGAAGGGGTAGAGGGCCGGGAGGAGGAGGGGGTAGGCAAGGAAGATCTGAAAGATGGCCTGGACACCGCGGAGGAGACGTTCGAGTCCGACTGTTGATGGTCAGTCATGGTTTTTGACGATGAGGGGCCATGATTGAGGGACTCTGATGGAAAGTGTTGCAACGTCCCAACAAGAATTTCCCGTGGTGAAAGAACATGAGGCCACTCAATCTATGCCACCTTATGTTTCGGCTGAATGAAGGATAGGAGCACACTTACAGATGTCGGTTCCGAAGCAGATGAACTGCTCAATCACATGTGACGCCATGTCTACGGCGGTTGGGCCCAGCCACGTGCGATGAAGGTGCTTAGGCGTTGGGAGATGAGTGACGCACAGTGTCGGCCTATATCACTAGACCAGTCATAAGTATGTTACAAGATGATGGAAGAATAAATGTCAAATTGAGGCTGGCAATAACGGTGAGGTAGACTACAAGGGCTCGCCTCGTGTTGTTGTTTGAGGTTAGCCTCTGGCTCCTGTTTTCCCAACCATTCGCCCAATCGGAATGGTTGGGGTGGATGGAAACCAAGGCAGATGATAAGCACCCGGGCACCAGGATACGATAATGGGATATACATGGTACCTTACTTAGGTAGAAAGGCATATATCAAACCACCTGGAATGCTGCCATGAGTGCCAGTCGAGTAGTGAGTGGTCTTCGAGGACCAGGGTCAAAACCGCGGTACTACGACGCGTCATTCGGACCAAATTCCAGAGTCACAGGACCAAGAAGCCCCGACAAAACGCTAGAACGGATTCTCTTGTTACAACAAACGAACACCACAGCTTTAAAGTCTACCGAACTCGGTACGGAACACATATGTACAAGCCCTTGGGCTGCCGATACCAGCCTCCATTTTCCATTCTGAGGCACCCTTTGAGGCACCCTTTTGAGGCACCCTTTACTGGCCGGGAGCGACCAGCTTGCCCTGCGCGCGCGCAGTCGGCTCCCAACCACCAGCCAGCGCGTTGCCGCCGTTCTGCGCGGCGTACTCGGCCATCCTCGCCTCGAGCTCGGGACGGAAGTGACGAATCAGGCCCTGCAGCGGCCAAGCGAAAGCCTCACCCAGAGCTGTGTCTCTGTCAGTATGCATGCAATGGAAATCTACGTGTAGAGGACAACGTACCGCAGATAGTGTGACCCTCGACCTGCTTGGTCAGCTCCTGGAGCATGTCAATCTCCCGCGGGCGACCCTGGCCCTTCTCGAAACGCTTCATGATCTGGTCGGTCCACTTGCTGCCCTCGCGGCAGGGCGTGCACTGGCCGCAGGACTCGTGGGCGTAGAAGTGGGACAGGCGGCTGATGGCGCGGACGACATCGGTGCTCTTGTCCATGACGATGACGGCAGCAGTGCCGAGACCCGACTGGCTGTCCTTGAGGGCGTCAAAGTCCATCAGCTGGTTGTCGCAGACATCCTTGGGCAGAATGGGCGTCGAAGAGCCACCGGGAATGACGGCAAGCAGGTTGTCCCAGCCGCCACGAACACCGCCGCAGTGCTTCTCGATGAGCTCACGCAGAGGGATCGACATCTCCTCCTCGACAGTGACGGGGTTGTTGACGTGGCCGGAAATGCAGAACAGCTTGGTGCCCTGGTTACGCTCGCGGCCAAAGCCGGCAAACCAGTTGCCACCGCGACGGCAGATCGTTGGCGCCACAGCAATGGTCTCGACGTTGGCGACGGTGGAAGGGCAACCGAAGAGACCGACGGCGGCAGGGAAGGGGGGCTTGAGACGGGGCTTGCCAGGCTTGCCCTCGAGGGACTCGATGAGGGAGGTCTCCTCACCGCAGACGTAGGCACCGGCACCACGGTGGACGTAGACGTCAAAGTCATATCCGGATCCGCACGCGTTCTTGCCGATCAGCCCGTCCTTGTACGCTTCGTTGATGGCAGTCTGGAGGACAGCAGCCTCGTGGTAAAACTCGCCACGGATATAAATGTAGGCGGCGGTGGCGTTCATGGCACGACCGGCAACGAGGCATCCCTCGATGAGCTTGTGGGGGTCCTTTCGCATAATCTCGCGGTCCTTGCAGGTTCCGGGCTCTCCCTCATCGGCGTTGACGACCAGGTATCGGGGCTTGGTGTCCTTGTCCCAGTCCTTGAAGTTCATGAACGACTACCACTGTCAGCACGCGTCGTGGTGCAAGAGCATAGCACAATCGCCACCTACCCATTTCAGGCCAGATGGGAAACCAGCACCACCGCGTCCTCGCAGGCCGGACGCCTTGACTTCGCTGATGATCCACTCGTGTCCCTTGGCGAGAATCTCCTTCGTCTTGTGCCAGTCACCCATCTTCTTCGCGGACGCAAGCGTCGGCGGCAGGCGGCCGTTGAGGTTCTGGAAGATGCGGTCACTGTCCTTGAGACCGCCGTAGCTGCTACGGACGGTGGCGTAGTTGCGAGCCATGTTGGCCGCGGTCGCGGGTAACCGCTGTGATGTCGACATCGTGTCGCGGGAGCGCGGGGTCTGTGAATTTGAGTGTCGGTTTTGTCGTCAGGCCTGAGCTCGCGATCGAATTGCCCGGGTGGCGTTGACGAATGGAGGGTCCCGGCAGGGAGGGGCGTCGATGAAGGGTCGGATTTGAGGTTGTCCTGGAGCTTGAGAGGTTTCGGCAACCTCCAGATGATCTTGATGACGCCTGGATTTTGGGGCATTATGATTGGGCAATGGGCCGCGGTCTGCACGTGACCTGGAGGCCGCTTACCTGATCGAATCTTTGCAAAGCCCCTGGTTGGCAAGCTTGAGTCGTGATCCATTCCAGCATCGCGAGATGATCGGAAAGTGGTCCAAGCTTCCCTCGAGTGATGCGGGATGCCATCTAGGGCAACCTCGTTGCGAGTGCAACAAGAGGGGAGCATGAAGCTGTAGTACTGTTCACGTTCCATACTGTCGGACTCTAACAACATCACGGTTCAGTGTCGCCATGTCTTCTACCACCAGCAAGCGTCGTTCGATCATTCCTCCCGTCTCCAGCTCAGGGCCCCAAGCTCCCCTCAATGCGTCTTCCTCCTCCAAGATCTCCGACAATAGCATCTTGACCGGCAGCCACTCGATCACAGTTCAGTCTGAAACAATCATTCACCCCCGAGCCAGATTAGAGTCAGTGAGCGGGAGCATCTACGTCGGAAGAAGGTGTATCATCCACGAACGTACACATATTGGCCTCACCGACGGCGACGAGGGCAGCGGAGGGGTGACATTGGGGGACTACGTCACCGTTGAGGTCGGCACGGTGATCGAGGCCGGCGGCACAGATATTGGCGATGGCACTGTGGTCGGCGTCCGCTCTCGAATCGGCAGTGGTGCCGTCATTGGCAAAGTATTCCTCCCGAAGCATTGCACGCGGTTGATACGGGCTAATCCCCTCCAGAACTGCACCATCACACCGCAGACGGTGATCAGGGCCGGTGAGAAGATCCCAGACTTCACAGTGTTGTTTTCAAACGGGCGTCGCCGAACAGACAAGCGGGATGTCGTCGATCTGAAGCACAGAGCGCAGGCAAAGCAGGTCGATGTATTGCGGAAACTGATCCCGACGAACCCTCTGCGACGTCAAGCGGCAGCTGAGTAGCAACCGCACCTGCCGTCGGAAGCGAGAACAGAAACTTCATCTTACTTGTCCCGTTTTCAGCCCCATGATACCCAAATACACAGAATCACCAAGACCTTGAGTTGCTCCTATGTCCAGTCGTCGATTGTGCGATGAATACAACCACTAGACAGCCTCGTTCGTTGGTGGCAAGAAAACCTGCCCGTCATGCATGGTCGACTGCTCAACTGCATTGTAAGCGCCTGCACATGGCACATGTCTATTACCTATCATGCTTGCATCATTGGCTCGGCCATGGTAAGGCACACCATCAGGCAGACGGGCATGCTTCACGTGGTATATATGCAGCCTGATCTCCGTCCCGAGCGAACCCGAGACCTTGCACTGCCCTCCCTTTGCTTCTCACTTCTCTCTGTCTTCATCCGCTGTGCCCATTCATCCCTAACGGACTAAGAATGACCTAGCATGGCCGAAATATTCAGCCTCGTCTCCGCTGGCGTGGGCATCGTGGCGTTCATAGGCCAGGTGTCTGCTACTCTTGAAAAAGTGAGCGATGCTCGTCGGTTCGTCAAGGGTAAGGCTGCTGAAGAGATCGCGTTTTTCCAATGCCAGCTGCGCTTCCTCAAGGAGATACTGCAGACCTTGCAACCAGAAGACGACAATTCTATAGACGTCCTTCTGACGGACTACCACTGGCATCGGTTCAATACCATACAAGCATCCTTGGGCAATCTCCCTACAAAGCTGCATGAAAGACTTGGGTCCTCTACGTCAGTACGTCGTCGAAATTCGACATTACGTGGCACCAAAGTCGACCAACAGCTACGAGAAGAAATAACAAATATGAACCAAAAGGTCATGGCCTTGATTCAGATCATTTTTGTATATACGTAAGCAGATGTATCGACCGCAGTTGGATGGCGCAACTCATTGGGTATTACAGTGTTATTAAGCCGCGCCAACTTTCACCGAAGCCTAGCATCGAAGTCCATGAATTGCCGCAAATCGAGGTTCCGATAGAAGATCTCTGCATCACTGATACTACAGCTGACAACATGATACTTGTTCAATCCTCGACCGAGCAAGCTGGGTCTGAGACAGTCGCTGTGAACAAGACCGAAGAAGAGGTTGAAACAACTTGCAAGCCCAACACCCTCACCTCAAAAACAACCAGGTATATTAGACGACCGCGTCGAAATGATTTCTACACTTGCAGCAATCCAGGCTGCTGCTGTAAATGTCATATCACAGCAAAGATCCAGAGGAGGTTCTGGGCGTTCGAATACACACCTCTGTCCATTTATCTCAGCGACTGCGACGATGACCTGTGCAACTCTCGAAGGATGCGTCTGGGTTTTCGGGTAGCCTTTTCGCAGTATGGCATTCCTTTTGCTGTATTAATGGGATTCGAGGCCATCTCAGAGGCAGGGATGCGTACATTGCAGCCTACGCTCCGGACCCAGCAGGTCGTCAAGTATGCTTCGCCAGGCTTCAAGATATTGTGGCTAGCGACCCAAGATTCATTAATGTTGACCAAGCTCAAGAGCAACTTTCGGACTTCTTCCGACAAGAACCCACGGCGAGAAATCACGTCGATCCGTCGGGCAGTGGTTACCTCGAGGTACAAGTCTCTCACCAGTTGTGGTACTCAGCTCATAATAATGACTTCGGCACAGGCTTTGGTCAAAACAGTTGCGGGAATTGAATCCGTGGGAAGCTATCTTGGTCTCGCAACGTTCATTGCGGACGAACTGGGTTGTCCACAGAATGCAGATCCAGAGTATGTCTCTTTCGACGACAAGAACATGGGCAGAATGCTGACACTGAAACATTGTTTTGGCTGTCTGTGCAGAAATGCAAAATCACGAGGGATGTGAATATCTCACACAGCTTCTACTGAAATGTGGCTATGATCCAAGCAACGTTGCCTGGCAGTCTAAAAAGTTTACTCGATACAGCTATGGGATGATTAACGGCGGATCAAAAGACCCAGCGTTGATCGACTTTTGGTCCACACTAATTGCAAACAGTCCAGGTTAGCTCCAAGACTGCTTTGCCACAAATAAGTCTACGCGATTGCTGATCGGCTTTATTTCAGGGCTTATTTTGCCAGGACTTCTCGAAGCTATATTGAATAAGTCCATTGCAGAAACAACCGTGTGGATTCACAGGACGCCTCGTTTGGAGGCTTGCACAACTCACCTGGGTCAAACCCCACTGCACCTCGCCGTCGTCGACGATCAGATCCTGGACCCGGTATTGAACAGTGGACATAATGTTGATGCTAAGGACAGCTTCGGATACACTCCCCTTATCTACGCAGTTAGGTTGGGACGAAGTTATGCAGTATTGAGACTGTTGACTCATCGTGCAAGTCTTCCTCGGACACTGTTAGATGGCATTTCGTGGTACTGATGTCTTCCTGCGGTGACCTCGACATGATGTCTAACGCCCTAACTCTAATTCAAGGACTCCATGGAGCTGATGTCACACAGACTCTTATTGGCCAAATGGCGCATTCACATTTTGGTTTACATTTGTCACGCCGCTCTCAGAATCATCCGGACCACCAGATCTACGACATGCTCATGGAACGGTGGACAAGTTCTTCGATCAACAAGTCGAAGGTCAACGGCAGTACCGTCATGCATGTAGTTCAAACAGTGCAGCAAGCGCGAAAGCTTGTCCAAAAGGGCTTCAACGGGTTCAATGCAGGTGACATGAACGGGCAGTTGGCCGTTCATAGGCATGCTGCCCGTGGACGAGACTCTCTCGTTGGCTTTTGTATCGAGCACGGGTCAGACTTGGATCATAAGGACCTAAAAGGGCTCACTGCTTTTTCATCATCCGTCTAACCACTGACGTTACCTTTTTGCTGCGGCATAGCTTCGGGCATGCTTTCATCCAGACGCATTTTACGCGCCGGCGCCAACGTGAGAAAAGGAGGCAGGTGCAAATGCGCCTGCACTTCCGCCGATATCGGCTGTTCATCTGCCGAGAAACGGATTCATGGGGATCTCACAGAGCCGAGCGATTCCAGGTGCCCATCATGAATTATCGACCTTGAATACCAGTCTCTCCTAGGCGATTTTCAGGGCGCTCAGCCAAGCTGCACGGCATTACTTGGTATGATTAGAAGACTGGAATTCGATGCTTTGGGCATGACACATGCCTGCGCCTGTTGCTGAAACACCTCCTTTATGACACGGGTGAACATCAGCATTGACGAAAACCATGCGGAGAAACCAGACCTTTTGAGGTGTCTCGAGAACAGCATGATGAAAATCCGTGAAAGATCTTTGTCGTTCTTGCAGCGTCAATTTCTGCTTCGATCAAAGAAATCTATGGTGGACTTCGGAAGCTTTTGGAGTGATTTTCATATTTCAGATCCCCCTAACGTAAGCAAAAAACATTCGTTTCAGTGTATCAAGCGTTGCTGATCATAGAGAGTTTTCATCTACAAGCAATTATCGATGGTCAATAGATTCCGTCAAGGACGAGTTCCGTACCCTGCCGACGCCCATATCTCCATCGCGGCTTTGCCGGCGACGCCGAGGTGATGATGCGGCGATCTACGTTGGGTTCCTGGAGCAGCAATGGACCAATCTTTCGAGTCAGCCGTCGGATCTCTTCCCAAGCGGCTGGTATCAGAGACGGATCATGTGGATTGTCGAGGTAATGCGGGTGTACAAGGTCAGTGTCGAAGAAGCGGCCCAGACACTTCGTCTGGGAGACGCACGCATATTCCAGCCGTACTCCAAGAACCCAAGCACGCAACATGAACGGGACATGTGGGCGACCCACTTTGTCTCTTCTGTTGATGAGGCTGTATCCGTCACAGATGACAGCGACAGCGACGACGAGAACTGGGAGGCCTGCAGCTCATCAGACTGATGTATGACCTACTTGGAAAACAGCAGGGGGGTAGTGTACTGAAAACTTGGGAGACACGTGCGTCCGTCCAGCAATGAAACAGGACGTGTTATACACGACATCGTGGGTGAATGGGGATGCTCAGGGGCCACACTCTAAGTCGATGCCATAGAACGAACGGGCCACACTGGCAAGGGTTCCAGGCTCGTTGACGAACCGTTTAGATTCAAGCCTGCCTTACCGACCTGGATGGAGACTTTATTCGAGGGTCCGCCATCAATCTGATACGAGGAAATCGCCCCATGGAAGGAACTCGCCAAGGTCTTTCCGGCGGCGCCTTCTGTCCTCTACCGTCAAAGGAACAATTCTCTCCATGTCAGGTCTCACCTGTTCCAGTGCAGCTCTTTACAAAAAGCTCCCAAAGACCACGACAAGGACATTTTTCTCGAGCCGAGTCTGACAGTCAAGATGCACATCGCCCTGCTCCATTTCCTGCTGGTCCCCGCACTCGCGATCGCAGCCCTAAACGCCACGTCGATCCCCCGCATCTTCCTCTTCGCCCTTTTAGCCCACCAGGCATGGCTCACGACGCAGACCATCGAGGCCGCAAGGCTCGGCACGGCCGCCGGCTTCCCATCGCTGGACACGCACGTCGCCGACATTGCCATCAAGATTGCCATCCTCGTCACTCTCCACATGGGCGTCGTCCTCTTCCTCGAGGGCATCGTCCTGCCCAAGCGCGACACGTGGGCCGGTCAGGTCAAGGAGGGCTACAAGATGGTCTTCAACGGCAGACGCATCGGCACCTCCCGCCTAGCGCCCCAGGTTCCCATTCTCGAAAGCGAAGCCATGACCCTCGTGACGCGAAAAGATGACGAGGTCTCGCTCCAGCGCCAGCAGCAGTCGCGAGGAGGCAGCTTTCACGACCGCGTGGGCACCGTCCGGCGCGAACCCCGGCTCCGCTTCGTCCTTCGTCGCCTGTCCCTCGCGCTCCTCCTCGCGCTCCTCGAGTTCGCCGTCAAGCCGCCGCTGCTGCGCCTCTATCTGCCCACGACATACGATGACTTTGCCCCCGCGAAGGAAGTCTTCTTCCGCCGTCTTCTCCTGCCCGGCCGCGGTCCGACGCCGGATGCCCACGAGGTGGCTGTGAGGCTGTGGATGACGTTCGAGACGACGTGGGCGGCCTACTCCTTTTACACAATCTGGCACTCCCTTGCTTCGGCCGCAGCGGTCACCGCGGGCCTCGACCGGCCGCACGAGTGGCCGCCGCTGTTCGGGGACATCAGGCAGGCGTACTCGCTGCGGCGCTACTGGGTCAAATTCTTCGACCGGCTGATCTACCGAACCATGTCGGGGTACGCAAAGTTCGCGGGCCGCTGGGTCGGGCTTTGCGACGCCGCGGGCAAGGCCAGGACGGCCTGGAGCCGGTGGGTGTTGAACGGCATGGTGTTCATGCTGAGCGGCGTATTTCACGCCTGGGCGGCCAAGTGGCAGGGCTACAGGTGCGGGTTCTGGGAGGAGATATGGTGGTGGGCTGCGAATTTCGTGGCCGTCTTGGGGGAGACGGTTGTTTTGGACGGTCTGCGGAGAATCTTGCCGCGATGGTACCATCAGATGGCCGAGGGGAGGGCAGCCAAGATTGTCGGAAGGTTCTGGGTGTGTCTCTTCATCTTTTGGGCGTCGCCGAAATATCTCTACCCCGTCATGATATGCGGCGTCTAGTCAACAAGTGAAATAATACAAGATGCACTCGGTCAATTGCTCCTCAATCGTCTCAGTCATGTTATGTAAGTTTACAAGTATGCTTGACGTCGCGATATGCTTGCACGCAACTAGCTCCGGAAAGATTGGCTCAAGATCGCAACGGGGTAGCAGCGGCCAGAGCGGAGACGAGGCTCGAGTCAGGCACTAGCGGGGCCGGCATTCGTGCCGCTCGCTATTGAAGATGGCAAAGCTGGCGGTCATGTCGAACGGTAAGCGCAAAGGGTTCTGGGACATGGGTGGAGTATCGTTAACAATGGTGGCTACGATGAGCGGCTGCTAGGTGTGTCGAGGAGGGGTTCCTCGTTTTCGTGCCCGCCTGAAATCGGACGTTCTTGGCTATGGCGCACTTTCGTTGACATCTGCCTAGCCGAGCCTTGGGTTCTTGGGTTCGAAGGATCGTGGAGAGATTTCTGGGCATCATTGACCTACCTTAGGGACCAGGTAGGGAAGGTCGGGAGAGTTAGGATGCGGGGATGATAGCCACGCTTGTTCTGTCGAGTCCATGAGGACATTTTCGTTCTCTCATGAGTATGCAATGAGATCTCGAGGAGAAGGCCCGCGTAGATGGGCTGACTCTTTGCAAGAAAATTTCGTCGATCAAATGCCGATGCCACGAGAACAGAGCCCTTCAAGTAAGGCTGCGGGCTGACTCTTTGCAAGACAGCTCCGTCGATCAAATGCCGCCGATGCCACGAGAACAGAGCCCCCTCAAGTAAGGTTGCGGGAGGCTTTTGCTCAACAGGCGAGCCAGGGGAGTTCCAGCGACGTCAGCGAACTCCATCTGCAGATACAGCGATGCCACGCCCAAAACAGCAGGTGGCAGCCCCCCCGCATGCGCTAACGACTTGGACCGGCAGGGGCCGATTTGCTAATACGCGGCCAACTGCCAATGCCACTGACGTAACTCCAACCCGCCGTCCCCCGCACCTCAGCAAAACACCAATGGAAACCCAAGCGAGCCCGCGAGCCCAAGACTGCTCCTCCAAGGCTGCAACGTCACTTTTCACCACCTTCAACCCTGCCTCCCTGAATGCGGTCTTTAGGGCCTTCAGCTCACAGAGCCCACGCGAATGACTCGATATCACCGCTATCGGCGGGAGCAATGGCCCTTGACCCAGCAGTCTGGCATGTCTAGACACGCATGTATGCGATCCTACAATGCAACCTGGTCATCACGCGATAGGAGCTTCTTCGCATCTCCGACCACCCCCCAAGCTCCTCCCGCAAATGCCCCTCATCGAGCAGCGATCGGCCGCTTCTGAGTGAACCATTGTCCTGTTTCCGCTTAGTCCGACACCCCGTTGCCTGGCACCGGCCAAGATGATGGGCCAATTGCTACCAAGGGCGCGACGCGGCGTGCATCGAGCAACCGGTTAACGATCCTCTTGGGGAGTCTTGGAACAGGCGACCAATGCAGATGGCCGGGTCATTGGCATCGGCCGTGTGGTAAGACAAGGGCATCCTCAAAAGAAAAGCGATCCCCGAACCATCTTTGAACGAAGCTCGCCCGTCCCACAGTCTTCTGCTCCATCTTTTGCTGCGGACAGCTTCTTCTTCGATAGCGGATATTGTTCTGTCCCTCTTCTGGTTCGAAATGGCTCCTGTCTGGTCGACTGTCCTTGGACCGCTGCTGTTTGCGGCGGTCCAGCCCGCCTTGTCGTCGCCGACGTGCAAAGGCGAGCCTCGTCGCGGCGCCGTCGCGTCGGAACTCGACATTTGCAGCAAGATTGGTACCGATTTGCTAAAGGCCGGAGGTAACGCTGTCGATGCTGCTGTCGGCACAACCTTCTGTGTCGGCACTGCGGGCATGTACCACAGTGGTCTCGGAGGCGGTGGTTTCCTCGTCGTTCGGTCCGAGGCAGGCGAGTACGAATTTATCGACTTCCGAGAGACCGCCCCGGCTGCTGCGTACGAGGACATGTACGTCGACGATCCGGACCAGAGCATCTACGGAGGTCTCGCCAGGTATGTGCAACTTTGAACCATGCTCAGCGCTTGGAAGCTCTTGGGGTGCTAACAAAGGTCTCAGTGGTGTTCCAGGCGAGCCCAGGGGCCTCGAGTATGTCCACAAGAAGTACGGCGCGCTTGCGTGGAAGGACGTTCTTGCGCCCTCCATCAAGCTGGCCCGCTTCGGCTGGAAGGTCAACGAGGACCTCATCTATTACATGAACGCTGTTGGCGGGACTTTCTTGACCGACGACCCTACCTGGGCCATTGACTTCGCTCCCCACGGCAAGCGCCTCGAGCTTGGCGAGACCATCACCCGCAAGCGATACGCCAACACTCTCGAGACTCTCGCCGAGGAGGGCGCCGACGCTCTTTACACTGGTGCCATTGCCAATGCCACCATTGCTCATCTCCAGAAGCTCAACGGCACCATGACGTTGGAGGATCTCCAGAACTACACCATTGCCCACCGCCCCACCGCCGAGATTAACTACCGCGGCTTCAAGCTGACCAGCGCCACGGCTCCTTCGGGCGGTATCGTGGTCCTCAGCGCCCTCAACGGTGCCGCGGGCTACGAGAGCTTTGACGATCCTGAGCAGGTCAACCTGACCACCCATCGTCTCGACCAGACGACTCGCTTCGCATATGGCCAACGCTCGTCCCTCGGTGACCCCGTCTTCGTCGACGGTCTCACCGAGTTCCAGGAACGCATGATCTCCGCCGAAGTCGCCGCCGAGGTGCGCTCCAAAATCTCCGACACGCAGGCTTTCAACATCTCGTACTACGACCCCTCTGGTCTCGAGTCCCTCGAGACCCCTGGAACCTCTCACATTGTGTCAGCCGACAGCTCCGGCCTCGCCGTCTCCATGACGACGACCATCAACCTCCTCTTCGGCTCGCAGGTCATGATTCCCGAGACGGGCGTCATCATGAACAACGAGATGAACGACTTTTCCATCCCAGGTGTAACGAATGCATTCGGCTACATTCCCAGCCCCGCCAACTTTATCCGCCCCGGCAAGAGGCCCCTGAGCTCCATGTCGCCCACCATCATCGAGACGGCCGACGGCAAGCTGTACATGAGCATCGGTGCGGCAGGCGGCAGCCGCATCATCACCTCGACGATCCAGAACATCCACAACGTCCTCGACAAGGGGCTCAACATTCACGACGCCCTGGCGTTCCCGCGCTGGCACGACCAGCTGTCGCCGGAGAGGATCACGTTTGAGTGGGCGTACGACAACAGCACCGTCGCGTTCCTCAAGGGACTGGGTCACAATGTCACCTATGTCCGGCCGGGGCAGAGCTCGGCACAGGGACTGCGGCTGTTGACGAACGGGACGTTCGAGGCTTCGGGCGAGCCGAGACAGACCAACTCGGGGGGCTACGCGGTGTAGATGTGTTGGGACGTACATAGGTAGAGGGTAATGATATCTATTTGATGTACTTTGTTTTACGTTGTTCGTGCTTGCCTTGTGTTTGGCCCTGCGACAAGCTGGAATGTCATGCACTGGTGGTCTCCCTACGTTAAGTTGGGGGAAATAGGTTCATGACCTCTGACAAGTCACGACCCAGTGTACAGAATTCATTGTGCTTCACAGTTCTTGGCGGCTGGAATTTCAGCACTGAGACGCAGGTCGCGGTTTCGAGCATGTCAAAGGAATTTGACAAAACGAAGACTCGCAGCTCATTCGAGCTGTTCCACTGTCCTGGCTCAATCTCGTGTTGTCAACGACCACCATCTTCTACACAGGGAATAAACAACAAACAAGGGTCCTGACCCTGTCGCTGGTCAAATCGTTCGTCCAGAAGGGGGCGCAGTCGCTATGAAACATTCAACCCTGCGTACAGTGCAGGCCAAGGTTTGGAACTCTTTCTCCAACCTTTGGAAAGCCGATCTGGTAATCACTCAAGACAAGCAAACTCACAAACCCCAAGCCGTCTACAGCAGCGGGACAAACGTATTCATAATCTCGTGTACTTCATTGGCTTGCGCTCTATAAACGGATGTAGTAGATAGGAACAGCATCGCCAAACTCCGCCAGCCAGAAAACGGCTGATGAGACCGGCTAATAATCGTCAACACATCTAGGCCGCCACCGGTTGCACAATATCCCTCTTATCAAACGTAACCCAGAAGTTGTTTTGCTTGACGAACCAAGCATTGACAATCTCCCAGTCTCGCGACGGATCTTGAAAGTTGATCTGATACAATGGTCAGCTTTAGAAACCAATAAGCTCATCACCGGAGTACTCACGTCGAAGCGTCTCAGCAGACTCGGTACCACCTTGTAAATCTCCAGCAGACTGATGTTCTTGCCGATGCACGTGCGGCTTCCCATGCCGAACTGGAGCATCGTTCCCTTCATCTCCTTGACCCTCCTGTCCTCGGATTCCAGCTCCTCCTTGCTGAGTTCTGCCGGGTTCCTGCCCTGGCCAATCAGCCACCTCTCAGGCCGGTATACCTCGACGTCGTCGCCGAACACCGCCTTGTTGCGGTGAATCACCCACGCGTTGCATCCGACAATCGTGCCTCCGGGCACGAAAACGCCGGCAATCTCTGAACCGCCGGGCGGCACGATACGCTCGAGCGGCAGGCCAGGGGCGGGATGCAGTCGGAAGGCCTCGTTGACGCACGCATCTAGGTACTCCAGCTCTCGTGCCTCGTTCCAAGTGACAAGCCCCGTAGTCGTGTCCTCGAACTTCCCCTTCCGCGCAGCGTCGTCAATCTCGCTTCTTAGCGATGCCAAGGCAGCGGGCGTGCGCAGCAGGTAGTAGAACACGGCAGAGAGGGTGATTTGCCGTCGTCTCAGATCCAGCAAAGGCCATGCTAACAGCCATGGTCTTGACCAGAGTGTCGCTCATGAACTCAGGGCGGGACTCGCGGGCGGCAAGAAACTTGGACAGCAGGATCAGGCTGCTGCTTTCTGCTTCGCAGCAGCAGTGACAGGGAGGAGCGGCTTCTCCTGGTCCAGAAGAGCGGGCAGACGTTCAGACATGCGAGCGCGGGCAAAGCGGGCCACGGGGAATGTCGAGTCGATGAGCCCCCATTGCGAAAGCTTGAGGTAGACGGGATTCTTCAGGAGCAGGAGGTCGAGGAAGGGAATCTGGCCGACCTTTATGACTGCATTAGTAACGCCGCTTCCACGTAGCGGGTGGACGACCTACCGGAGCCACGTAGAGGAACAGTTTGCCGAGGTAGTCGACAATACCGTCAATGTCCTCGTTCTTCTCGACAAATCCATGACGCTTGCTGTAGGTGATCTCGCCAATGACATCAAAGGCATAGAATTGCAGCCAGCGAGTAAAGTCACATCCCTCAGGCTTCCCTGCGAAGAACTTCTCGGTCTGGTCGAGAAACAGCTTCGTCGTGTTGTCGACAAAGGGTTCATACTGAACAAGGGCGGACATGGAGAAGGCCGAATTGACGCAACGACGGAACTGCGAGTGGAAGCCATTGTCGGTGGTACTGAAGAGGGACTGCAGTCTGTTGCCCTGTACGATAGACTGTTGGACAATGTAAAAGTCAGACTTGACGAAGCCCTTGTTCAGTCCGTAGATGGTCTTGAGAGCGGCGGGATCTGCAAAAGACAGCGTGTTGGGGCCGAGACGGACAACATCGCCGTGTTTCTTGTGGAGAGCAATGTGGGTGTTTTCTGGGCGTTGACCCCAGACATCGTAGAATCGCCACCAGTCTGTCAAGGATGCGAGAAAAGGGCCGGGATGCTTGTTCAGTCCATTTCTGTAACGATTCCTCACAATCCAAGCCAATAGAAGTGTGGTGGTAATAAGAGGCCAGTGTTGGGCAAAAGCCTCGACTATTGACTCTGTGATACCGTGCATCGCGACACCCTGCTTGTCAGCGATATGGCCGTACGGCTGCGCCACTCAGTGCTGTCAAGCTGCGACAAGGCCCCGAAGGTTCACGTTGCGGCGAGAAAAAACGTGGGAAGTCGGGACAAAGATAGCGTGGGCCACAAGGGGGCTCTCGAAGGTCTCACACCAAGCACAGGCTAGAGTGAAGTAGTCGGAGGCTCGTACCGAGAGTTGGGGTCGAAAAAAAGCTGGGGTCAGTGGATGGAGGCTCTGATGGGTTGTGTGTGTGGGTGGGTGTGTGCCAGGCTATTTAAAATGCCATGGTCGAGAAGATGTCTGCTCTCGGATCGAAGACGGTAATAAGCGGACACATCAGATGAAATACTGTCAACCCGAGGAAGAGGGGCTCCTGACCAGAAGATGCGAGGACTGACGACAATACATGCGTCAAGAGTAGCAACAAAGGTGTTCTGGCAGGCAATGCCGAATGCAGGGTGACATGCTTCGGCGGCCAACAGGGAACGTGTCTCCGGCTGTTCGTCGCTCAGAGCGTCGCGAGGCTGCCACACACACATACACCCCCCTGAGCTGAGCCCAGCTTGAGGCACAGCACAGCAAACACGACGAGGGAGGGGGGCGGGGCGCGAAGTGTGTGGCCAACGGTCAGACCAGCGCATGTCATCAGATCGGCATGATGCGTCGCATGGAGTCCGAGGTGTGCAGCAGGCCCTCAGACGAAAGGGGGGGGCCGAGGTGACTTGGGTGGAGAGATTTCGGCAGATGCACCGGATGTCAGAACTTTATGACAGGGTAGAGGGACAGAAAGAGATGGGAGTCTGGAAGGGAGAAAGATAGAGAGAGGGCGGGCTTTGGTATCGTAATCTCATCACCCAAAGTTAGGTAGGTAGGTATCTGCATGGTGCTGCGGCCAAGCATGATAGACCCATGATGGGTCACGATGGAGTCGTAGGAGGAACCACGGCAGTTACCATCGCCAATTACTTGCCCCCAAAACTCATCAAGGACCCCCAAAACCCCGGTGGGCAGTCACCACCCCCGGCCTGTCCTTTCGCTTGCCTCCGCGAACCAGAATTCTTCCCCGTCCATCTCGCCTTCCTCGTGCCGACTTCCTGGGCCGAAGGTCCACTCTTTTCTCGCACCTACTGCGCCTAGCTACTCCTGCTACTGACCAAGGCCTGACGAAGGAACGCTCCACACCACCAACTCAGCCGCCAGCACTCGTTCGAGGCACGCACAACTTGTCGCCCACTGACCAAAGATGGATTAGGGAGAGGGGTGGGCAGCCCCCCACAATCCCCAGATCTCTGTGCGTACATGTCCCTTGCTAGGGCAGGCGGGTTCGCGGTCTCGAGCACTGGCGAACGCCCCAGATTTCCGGGCTCAGGCGTCGTCGGAGTTTCCCCGCGACCTAGCCTTCAATGCTCATGGCTTTGCCTCTTCGATGACCCCTTTGGTGCAACTGGCACTGGCGATCGGTGGGGCCGGCACGAAGGGATGGGCTTTGGTGCGGCGGAAAACCCGAACCCCCTTTCACTCTCGCCGCTCTGCTCCATTCCCGTCACCACCAAAATCTGCCGAAAACCCTCCATCCCACTTCCTCCACCGCACCGCCAGCTCATCCGCAGGACAATGCACCTGGTCCTTCGGCAGATGTTTTCTCGACTCAGAACGTGGCCCGAAACCGAGACGCAATTCCAGGCCCCCACCAGAAAGACTACAATACGCTCTCTTCCCCCCCACTCACCATCTCGCCGTAACATCCGAATACCGTGATATCTCCAGATCCCATCTCTGACAGTGTCGCATTGCATTCTGCCAACCTTGAGACGGTCCGACAGACCGCTCGGACAACGTGGTCGCTTGGGCCGCCGCCAGTCAGCCGGGTCACATGCGTCCTCGCCCTCTCTGTGGCCGTCAACCCCTTTACTGTATATCGGGCCCGAAGTTTAACAAACAAGGCCGAAATGGGTATCTTTACTCTTCATACATCGTATCTGCATAGTCGCGACAACACACATGCTCGTTGCGACATCAAAAACTCCGCCTCGTCCAGGTGAGTCCAGGGGAGGTTACTCATCGCCGATACAAATACTCAAACGAACGCCGCAGCCCGTCAGGCATCCTCCTGCCGCCCGCCCGCTGCTGAGCTTCCGCCGCCGTCTTTAGCAGCGCGATGACGTCCCACACGTCTTCAACGTGGTATTTCATGGATTCCGCAATAGTCTCGACGTCAGGCTTCTGTGAGTACTTGAGCGCCCGCAAGACTCGCTTGAACACCTCATCCGGGTATGCTCTGCCCGAAGTGCCTGAAGTGCACGGAGGGGTCGGTACGCTTTGCGGCACCTCGAGAGGGTGGTAGTGTTCACTGCTGCCGCCTCCTTCTGCCGGGAGGTTGGCCACTGATCGGTGTGCCGGCCGTCTCGTGTCGCGTGCCGGGCCTTCGGTGAACCTTGTTACTGATTCTATGCATCGCCGCTTGGCCTCTTCCCTCGCCGCTTGCTTCTCATCATCGTTGCGCTTTCGCTTGGCTTGCGTCGACTCTCCCCGCTGAGTATTCTGAAGGTTCTCTTCGGCGAGCCTGTCCAAGTGATTTTCTTGCCTTGTAGTAAGCCGGTTGACCTTGTCGATCTGCTTGTTCAGAGCCGTATAACTGTGTCCTACTGCCTTTTGGAGCTTCTGAATCATGACGTCCAGACCATGTCGATCAAGCATAAGAGGCGATGCATCCGTTCCCATGTCCTGTTGTTTATTCGAAGCACTGGCAAACTCCTCGGCCGCGACCCTCTCGAGTCTCTCAACCCAGACAAGCACACGCCGCAATAATTGCAATGTCTGACTGGTGTGCTCGGCATGTTCCGGTATTGCGTCCAACCGCCCCACTCCAGCTGCCGACGCTCCCGCGATGAACACGAGCTCTACCATGGAGATTGCGAGAGGAATAATGTTGCGGGGTATGTCCACGGTTACTTGACGCCGCGATTTAGCTGGCGTGTTACTGCCTGCTCCGAGCCTTTTCGTCGGGACTTCTTCGACATGGATGACGACGCCCTCCATATAATTGGGCGCCAGACTTTTGTCATTGCTGTCGGTGTCGCCGAAGTACCTGAACTGTTCGCGCGTACCTGGTCTGCGCGGTACCTCCTTGCAAATTTTGGCCAGGAGTAGCATCTGTCTTCCCAAACGACTGCAAGTGTCGCTCTCGTAATGCATCGCGACTGACAGAGGGTCTTCAGTGAGTCTGTTGTTCCAAGTCTCCATGCCGTTAATCCACTCTGGACTACTCAGCAAGTCGGCTATGCGCACAAGATATTTGCTCGAAACAAGTTTCGTCAATGGAGAGAAGCGCCTTGGATCGAATGTGAGTAGCAACGAAGCGTCTGGGTACGGCTCATGGTCTTTTGCGACGACAACATGATTCTGCTTCGCTCGTTGGTTTACAGGCATAACCAGCACCTGTGCGTTCGTTCGAGGCGATGCAGGACCGTGTGGCTCGGTCCCAAGTACTGGGGACTCAATGTCATGGGATGTCGAATTAGCTTGAAGAGTTCGGCTGCTGCGTCTTGGCTTGGGCATTTGCGCATGCCCACACTCTGTTGGTTCCGGCGTGACTGGCGCCACTGTCGCAAGTCTCTGTGGATTTTCTGCTGCCTCTCCAGCTGAATCTGCGCTGGGCTCATCAATACCATCGTCATCAGAGGGACCTGGATTCTTGGAGGGTTGTTGTCCAGGCTGGCTCGGGACAGCTTGCTCTGTCAGGTCCATTGTTGCTTCTCTTGGTTCGGATTCCCTTGGTACGGAACCATTTTCAATATCTCTGCCTCCAGCCATTGTTTTCCCTGGTGCAGAAGGCGTTATATCCTGTGCTTTCCCGGGCCACTGCTCGGGATCCTCTTCTTCCATGACTGTAACACGTGCGTGTTCGACTGTGGCGCGTGCTGTCTCCCGCCGACTTTCTCCAACCATCAATGCTCCATTGGTGCGTGATACGCCTCCTTCGCGATGTTCTTCCAGGAGGCGAGCCTGAGCTGGCTGCGAAGGTAGGTCATTCGACTCGATCGGGGATTTGTCCGTCGGTTCGATCTGGCGTGGCGGCTCGCTTTCTACTTCGTGTTCAGCAAAGGGCTGTGAAATTTTTCTTTGTATTCCTGGTCGTTGCGAAGAATTCAGAGGAAAGGGACTGGGTGCTGCCGGTCCAGAGATCCCTTGTGGTGGCACAGCGAGGGCAGAGTTCAGGTGTTCCAGGTTCAGAGGAATAAACAGATCGTTTTCGACGTCATCCATCAGGGGATGCCGCTCAGCCTCTTTTCCATTGAGCTGCATTCTTTGACGCCGGTGTCCGCTTGTTACAAGTTCGGTATGTGGCAAGCTTCGAGGACGAGGTGTTGTCTAGGTAGGCCAGCATTAGCATCATGTTCGACCAGGCGGCTATCCATCGCCGGATCGACTCACGGATAAGACAGTGTTCGGTATATCGTTAGGTTCGTCATCGCTTGAGACGTCCCCATCGTCCGGTGCAGGCTTGTCGGCTGTGGCGAGGTGCATCGCCGGAGTGGAAGGTTCATCAAAGCTGCTGTCAAATGTGTTAAAGAGTGCCCTGGTCAGCTGGGCTATCATTGGGCGAGCCATGGTTTCGAGTCCGATGCCTCGACCTGCTACTTAGTATCGTACTCTAAGGAAGTCCAAGGGCGCGGTTGAGCGGTCATGTCGTTACGATCGCTGAATCATGGTGTCGAGGCAGTCGCGTAATGCGGAGAGGTAAGATTGACATCACGGCGTTCGACATCAGTAGCGACTGGCAAGGTACCTGACTGACCAGGCAGGTACGCCTGGAGGGGTTCCTGCAAGGGACGGGGAGCTTCTTTGGTCCAGGGATATCATTGGCTGGCACACGGTGGTCGGCACCTGCCCCGGCACAGCTCCGTGTGGGTGGCCGCCAGCTTGGTGATTAGCACTGTATCCGTGATGGCTTCACAACACCACCACCATCTGTTATCGACCGCAATAGATGTCCTGCGGTTGAATAAGTAACCTATCGTGCTTTGATGGGCTCCCCAAGTCAGCTGAACGGTCACCCAGCATCGAGACAATCTGTGACCCATAATCATAGGACCTATAGGTTGTCAGTCTGGCGTGGGGCCTTGTCCGGAGCATCAGAACCAGAAACCTCATCAGAATTGGTCTGCAAACGGGCCCTACGCTCTATTTCAGCCGGCCGGGTCAAGTCTCGTTCCTGCTACAAGCGCGCATTTCCAGGTATTTTGGTCACCTGGCTGTTTCATCATCCCTAACACCGTGGCAAATGGACCTGAAGCCTTGACCCGGGATCGGCACTTCATCATGCGGCTCATCTACACCACACGGGACTTGGCCCATTCTGTGCAACCTCCCCGCAGACGCCTGATCCTGCGGACGAATCGAGCCCCTTCAAGCATTGTCTCGTCCAAAGAGGAGCATGTGTCGTCTGATGCTGCTCCACAAACCCCGACCCATTGACCCCCTTTCTATTCCGGCTGAATTGCCAATGACGATCAATCACCATGGGCTGAACCGTTTCGACACAACACCACGGGGCTCTCGGCTCGCCGGAAGTGCCCTGTCGTGACTCCTTGGCTCGCCCGTTCTCATATGACAACATTCATTAGGAAAATGTTGAGACTACAAATTGACCTCCTCGCCCATTCATCTCATCTTATCTCGGTCCATCCAACCAGCCTCAGCATCCCTATCATCAGACATCAACACCGCGCAGTCGGTCCCTTCGCAGAATTCAACATGATTTTCCTCGGTGCCACAATTCTCCTGCTCGGCCAAGCGGCCGCCTCGCCCATGGAGGTCACCGCCCGCCAGGCCAACTGTCCCCCGATCCACGTCTTCGGCGCTCGTGAGACTACCGTTTCGCCAGGCTTCGGCTCTGCTGGCACCGTCGTCAACTCCATTATCCAAGCCAACCCCGGCACAACCTCCGAGGCCATCGTGTATCCGGCATGCGGCGGCCAGGCCAGCTGCGGCGGCGTCCAGTATGCCGACTCGGCCCGCCAGGGCACTGCTGCCGTGGCCACTGCTGTGAACGCCTTCAACCAGCGATGCCCAGACTCGCAAATCATCCTCGTTGGCTACTCTCAGGGTGGCCAGATCATGGACAATGCATACTGCGGCGGCGGTGACACGAGCGCCGGCATCACCGACACAAGCATCCCCATCTCTGCATCAGCACAGCAGATGATCCGCGCCGCTATCATGATGGGCAGCCCACGCTTCGTCGCTGGCCAGTCTCAGAATGTCGGCGATTGTCTCGCCCAAGGCGTAAGCGTACTCGTTCCATTGCTCCTGTGATATCGACTAATACTTGTCAGTTCGCGGCCCGCCCGGCCAGCTTCCAGTGCCCCTTTGCGGCGAACATCCAGTCGTACTGTGATGCACCTGACCCATTCTGCTGCAACGGCAACGACGCTGTGCGTCACCAGCAGTATGGCACCATCTATGGCGCAGAGGCTTTGACCTTCGTTAATAGCAAGTTGGCTTAAAGGGTGGAGGACCAGGACTATGTTTTTTTTTAGTTCATACCCAAAGCTTTATGAATTGATGACTTTGACTTGGTGTTGGTCCATCGAGAGCCTGCGATTTCGATGTTTATTGGTTTTGCGTAGCGCAAGTGCAACACCTGATCGTCTGATTGTCCACATGATCATCAACAAAACCTTCCAAGTTCTGCGGCACAAGGCTGCAGCTGAACGCCCATCCAGCCTTTCAAGAGCAATAAGGCTGTAGATGCCGATTGTGGTGGGGACAAAGCGTCAGCCAAGACGAGAATTTGGTACATGCCTGGCCAGTGATCCTTCGTCAACTTGGCGATCCCCAATTTTGGTTCTAGTAAGTGAATGTGACCAAAATCAGAGGCCACACATGGATTGAGGCCCGTTAGTCTGAATAATCCAGGCCTTGGCTTTTGAGTTTATCGTCATTCGCCAAGTAAGGCTGACCTGTCCAACATCAATGCAAGTTTGTCAGTCTTCATGGCACCATCTCATCAACTCTTGCCGGAACACATTCTTATGATCTTCAGCATCTCATGAGTAAGTGAAATCGCTGTATCCTGATTTCCATTTGATTTTCTGGTCTTCTCGAAGCTTCACAACACATCTCCAACATGCGTGTTCCATCGATCGCATTGGCGTTTTTTCTGGCCACCACAGTGCCTTCGGCACAAGCAGATGATGGTGGCCTAATCTTCACTGGCCCAGATCCAGATTCACCCCTCAATCTCTCTTCAAACGCCATCAGGATCTCCTGGACAATTGATCGAGCTAGGAGCATCGGCAACTGGCAGCACTGGCGCTCCTTCGACCTGCATTACATCACCTTGACCAGCGGGGGCACGACAGTCGACTACACCATCGGCAGGAACGTCAGCATTCCTGACGGTGATAGCAGCTTCACATGGGATCCCTCGAGCATCTTGCAAGGACTTAATGATAGTGGTAACGGTGATCTTTGGCTCGAGGACGGCGAGGAACACTATTTTGAGGCGCGGATCAAAAACATGGGCAGGTGGGGGGCAACGACGGTGCCGAGCGAGAAGTATGCTGTGGAAGGCTATGATCGGATTGGAAGCTTGGCTGCCCAGTTGAATTGTTCGTTCGTCAAGATGGCGGTTGGGCTGGCTATTTCGGGGGCTTGGATCGCCCTCTTTTAGACCAACTGATGCCGTAGGTCGGCTTCCAGAGTACTGAATGAGGAGAAATGCTTCAGCGAGCATAATTTGGCGTGATAGGGCTGGCAATTCGCTTCAGGCTCCGTGTCAATGATTACATTGTAACCTTTGTCAGAATGAATATTAATGTCTTCGCCATTGTCAATCATGCATATGGCCCTATCAAACTGTGACCTTTTTTCAATGGTTCACTCAGCAAGACTACCTCGTCAACCGTGTTCAATCCATCCTTCCTATCTGCGCAAAGCAACCCATATGCTCCGTTCTCCGTACCACGTCGCGATTTGCCATTCCTCTCTGCACAGAGCTTGGTGTGGCGCTGTCTCTTTTCGAGGGGACTGGTACCCTGCCGTTGTCTTTTCTTGCCTGCAGGGCGAGGAGCCTCCTCCGGAAACTCGTCATTGCTCAGCGCATCCACTTCTGCCGGCGGAATCGGCAGGAGTGGCAGGGCGGACCGTCCTCTCGCTGTCAACGCCTTTGTTTTCAGAGCCAGAGCCTGCAGAGTTGGTCGAGCTGGCCGATGTGTCTCCCTTGACTTTGCCAGACGACCCAACGTCCATCGTCTGTTGTGAAGATCTGACAGGAGTCTGGTGTGGGGGCTCGACGTGGATTCGTTGAGCGGATCCGATAGATGTGCACCGTCACGATAGTATGATTGAACTCGCCTGCGAGAGTCCCTTTGTGGGTGTAAGCTGTACTCAGGCCCTGGTCGAGGAGTCTGACCCGACAGTTGGCGAGCTCCGCTTCAGGGGCGACGATATGGGCAGCCTGCGGTGTGTTTATGAGGTCATCATTCTGGGGGACTACGTTCCGAGTTGACGCCTCTAGCTAGATCCTCCAATATAAGATGAGGCTCAATCAAGGAACAAGACGTGTAACTTGAAGTGCATGTTACTTAGATGTCCACGCTGCCTGCAATGAGACTTGAGCCTACGACAAGTCGACTATGGGTCAATTGCAAGGTCTCTATGTATTTTGCCTGGAGGCGAAAGGCAATATACGTCATGTGTGTCATCCGTGAGGTTGAGATGGTCGAACCAACCTGGCATGTGATTGGTCTACTATCCTGAAGGCTGGCTTATACGACCAATGCGGCGATGATGTATGAGAGCCGCATATACGCGTACACGTGAGACGCTCACACTGTAAGCAACCGCTTGGTTGCCTGAATGACGGCAACTTGAGTCCTCAGGCTGCGATTGAGGATAAGAACATACAGGCGACATTGAAACGCGGCTTTGTTCGTTCTTGATCTCGAAATCGCAGCGACCACACAGATAGATCGCAATGTCGATTCCCACATACAAGCTGCTCCGCCGCGCCTGCCATCACTTGTCAATCTCCCCCGGTCGCAGGTTCGCAACGACTCTAGCAAACACGCATTGCCAGGAGTTCACCCTCCCCGATGGCCGGATTCTAGGGTTCGCCGGATACGGCGATCCTCGAGGCCAACCTCTCCTTTACTTCCACGGTTTCCCTTCCTCGCGCCTCGAGGCGTCAGTCATGGACGACATGGCTCGCCAACGCAAGATCCGCCTTCTGGCTCTTGACAGACCGGGCTTCGGCCGCTCGTCCACCCAACCAGGACAACGAATTCTCGACTGGCCGGCCGATGTCGCCGCTTTCGCAACGGGCCAGAACATTGAGCGCTTCGCCGTCATGGGCGCCTCTGGCGGTGGCCCCTACGCACTCGCTTGCGCCCGGGCGCTGCCCCGCGAAATGCTCACGGGCGTGGGACTCTTCGCCAGCGGTCCACCTTGGTGGGCAGGGCGGCAGCACATGTCTCTGACCCGGAGGGTGACAAGCCGAATGGCGAACCAGTGGCCGTGGGGCTTGACGATCTTGCTGCAGGGGCTCGTCGACACGGCGAGATGGCTGCTGGGCACCGCAGTTATCCGGAAGCGACTCGATGCATGGCTTCAGGGCGAACGAAATAAGACTAAACCCGAACCCACTTCGGAAACATCAGAGCCGCAGCGGCCCATCTCGGAAGCGAGAGACAATCTGCTGCGAATGCTGATTGACGAGCCGTTCAGACAGGGGTGCGAAGCGACGGTCCATGAGGCGAAGCTCCTGTCGGCCAATAGTTGGGGCTTCGACTTTGAAGATGTCGAGTATGAAGGCGTGCATGTCTGGCATGGAGCGAAAGACAAAAACGCACCGATCGCCTTGATACGACACATGGTTGACAGGCTACCACGCTGTAGGTTCACGGAACTGAGCGATGACACCCACTACACAATGTTTCAACATATGGCTGGGGCACTGGACGATCTTATCCCGAAAGAGGCCACACGCTCCACAAGCAAGACATGATTATTATTAAGATATCAACCAGCAAAGGCAGTTTGGTTGGCAGATGGTTGTCGACGTTCACATGCATGCACTTCGCCACCTCTGTTCCCCCGACCTAATCAATGTTGTCTTGGACCAATAACTATGAAAACTCTCTTTTCAAACATCGTCAGTTGCAGCGGACCCCGAGGCTTGTGTTTCAACCAGGGTCGGTTCGCGACCGCCTCAGCGGCGCCCGGAATCGCTTGTGTCATTCGGACCAGAGCATCAGCCTTGCCATCCTTGCTCTGAAGCTCAGTATGACGCGGTCTCGGCACAGGCGTGGACCATGCCCACTTGCACATGCTCCATTCTGAACTAGAGTCTGCAGTGACCGTTGCTACAGTGCACTCCCTTTTAGTCATAGGACAGCTTTGTGGGCAGATTCTGGAAGCTTGTAAGGCTTGCGAGTCATGAATGTCGGCGCACCATGTGTAGCAATGCAGGGGGAGGGGGGGGGAGTCAGGCATTGCATGAAGGCGATGTCGGCAGGGCTGGATAAATTGCATGACTTTACGTCAAAGCGACATACGCGCTGCATTTCTTGAAGTCTAAATTCCCCTCCCGTTCTGAAACAAATGCTCAGTTGCTATAAACTGGGTAGTCGGTGTACTTGATGGTGGGGTCCTCGAACGGTCCGTAAAATCGGCTGCGATCGTAGTCGGCCAGCGGTAGGCCCTTGCGCAGCCTCTCAGGAAGGTCCGGGTTACTGATGAAGTACCGACCATAGGCGATGGCGTCGTACTTCCCGCTCTCGATGACGCCCCAGGAGTTCTGGTCGTCAAATCCACCTGCCGAGAGGAAGGGCGTGTTGCCAAAGATCTTGCGAAAGCCCGAGAGGTCGACGTTGGGCAGGTTCCACGAGTTGAGAAATTTCTGCTTCTCTTCCTCGGAGAAGATCTGCTCGTAGCGGGGCTCGATGAAGCTGACGTAGGAAAGGTTGGGAAGACGCTCCTTGAGGCCCTGGGAGAGGTGGTTCCACGTCTCGACACGCTGCTCGCTGCGCGCCTGGTTGAAGAGGCCAAAGGGCGACAGGCGGATAGCGAGGTTCTCCTGGCCAACATCCTGGGCGAGTTTCTCCATGAGCTCAAACACAAAGGTGCATCGCTTCTCGGGCGAGCCGCCGTACGCGTCGGTCCGTTTGTTCGAGTTGGAGCTGAGGAACTGCTCAGGGAGATAACCGTTGCCGGCGTGAAGTTCAATGCCATCAAAGCCGACCTCAATTGCCCTCTTTGCGGCATTGCGGTAGTCCTCAATAGTTCTCTGGATGTGCTCGTGCGTCAACTCAATGGGCGGGTGGTCGGCTATTTTGACGGGAGTTGACGTGTGGGGTGGAGGGTAGGCAAAGGTTTCATTGGGATCATCCCATGGCACTGCCGACGGAGCCACGATGGGTGTTCCCGTGTGGTGCGGGATGTTGGCACGGCCCGAGTGCCAGAGCTGAGCGTAAATGAAGGCTCCTTTGGCATGGACCCCCTCGACGACCTTTCTCCAGCCCTCGGCTTGTTCTCGAGTGAAGATGCCGGGGACGCCAGGCATGCCATTGCCCTTGAAATACTATTGTTAGTGTATGACACTTGACGAAACAAGTTTCAGTATAACAACTAGCTTGCATACCTCGAGTGAGGGGGGGAGGCCCTCAGAGATAATCAGGCCACCATCCGTCGCGCGTTGAGAGTAGTACTCAGCCACGACATCATTAGGAAGCCAGACGCGGTTCGGGTTCTCGAGGGTGGAGTTGACGTTGACAGGTGTTCCGCGGTTCCGGGTCAGCGGTGCATGCACGACTCGGTGCTTGAGCTCGATCTTGCCATTGGCGATCTTGAGGGGCTGGAAGAGCTGGGACTCGGACCCCGTGATGAGAGCGTCACCCATGTTTGGCTCGAGGTCTGACGGAAAGCACGGCCGCGTTCGTTGGTCTGTATTGTGCGCTCTGACTTCGTGAATAGAAGAACAGAGTTTTCACACCAAAATCGGCAAGGTGCTGTGCGGTGATAGGTATCAGCAGGTGATATGCAACAGATGTGACAGGTTACGTCGCCAGAGCATCAGCAAAGAAGGGCAATTGACCTGGAGGCCAGTAGATTTATGAGAAGACTCAAACTGATTCTTCGGGATGCCCCATCATTTCTCCCCACACTATGTCGCATTGGGAGGCTTCGATGTCGCATGCAGTTCCTATGCGGCGAAACACCAAGAGTACCTGGGATGAAGAGATGCTGGTTGGTCAAAAATCACTCAGATCAACATGTCGCCGGGTAATCCAAGTGCTCTGCAGCAGATACCCCTGATGGTGATATGCATCTCGTGATGATGAACCCATCAGGAAGCGAGGTTGGTCACTGCCGGACGGTGACCCTCCACCTCGGTCTCTTGGCAATGGGACAAGTCCCCTGTCTCTCCATCTGATTTTCAGGGGTCTTCGGCCGGATTCTCATGCCGGCTGCATGACCCCTGCCAACCTCTTCATCCAAGATCAAGAGGCGCTTTTCCCCGTCGCATCTCTTGCCCGCTTAGTCCCGTCTTCCGCCGTTTCTTCGACCAGCTTTGACGTACATTGCATGTAGCCGAACAGGACGAGACCTTGCTTCGTATGCTGGCCTCGATCTGGGCCAACGAAGAATACCTCCCATTCCTTTTTCACGACCCCTACTGCATCCTTGTACCAAGACCTGCAGCCTCTGCTGCTACGTTACTGCAGTAAGGATTAATAGGGTTCATTTAATCTTCAAGACCCGACATGGCCTTTTGTTCCGGATTTTCTTCAGCAGTGCCCGCTGATCTCGTGACCCTGGATCGATCTCAAGGGCCCGCCCCCCCCCCCTTACCTGCAGCAGACTCCCGCCTTTTACAAAGTAAGCTTGTAAGGCTGTCTGTCTTTCCGGTTTCCTTTTTTCCACCTTGCCGCTTTTCCATCTTACTAGAGATTGAATCATTGTCGCCATGAGTTATCCAGGTGCGGCACCGCCGCCGGCCGGCGTTGTGGCAGATGTCGACAACCCGCAGGATGTGTTGAGGACAGTCACCTACGTCACGCAGGGTCTGACCGTTTTCTTTTCAACCCTCTTCATTGCCGCACGTCTGTATTCCAAGACCAAGGTCATGGGCGGCATTGTGAGCTGGGACGACTGTGAGACTCCACGTTTTCTCCCCCCCCACCCCTCAAAGAAAAAAGCAATGTTGGAACTGACAAGACATGATCAGATGCGACGTACACTTCATGGGTAACACCCATTGACCCTATGGATCCGTGCAGACGAATACTGACATGAACAGGTCCTCATGATCGGTTATTGCATCACCGCATGTTTTAGTAAGTCGGTCCTTGCGCAGTGCTACAAAGAGATATACCTGGACTTACACGCGAGTCAGTGACATACCATGGTGCCGGCCTTAATCAATGGGACGTCCGAGTGGAAGACATTCAGTCATTCTTCAAGGTATGCTCCATGAATCCACTTGCTCTTGCGTTGCACAGCATTGTCTCTAACATGGTCGCCACCAGTCCAGCTACGCAGCAACGATCTTCTACGCCCCCATGGCCCTCACCGTCAAGCTCGCCCTGATGCTCATCATCCTCCGCGTCTTCGGCTCCGTACACAAAAAGGTCATGATTGGCATGTACGCCTTCATCGGCATGATTGTCATCTACTACGGCCTCGGCATTTTCATCAAGATATTCGTCTGCTGGCCCATCTCGGCCTACTGGCACGGCCACATGGAGAACTGCCTCGACCAGAGCGCCATCATCACGGCCGACGCCATCATCAGCGTCCTCAGCGACCTCGTCATCCTGCTGCTGCCTCTGCCGCTGACCTGGTCGCTGCAGTTGCCGCGGAAGAAGAGGCTCCGGGTGATCGGCATGCTGTGCGCCGGTGGCGTCGCCACGGGGTTTAGCGTCTACCGCCTCATCCTCATCCTCAAGGACGGCAAGTCTTCGAACCAGACCATCGTCTTTACGAAGGTCGTTTTGTCAGGGTGAGTAGTGCCATAGTCAGCCAAGCTACCGATCGAGAGCTCGAGTGACAAAACAACTTCCTCTTGGTGTTTTATGCTGACGAGTGACCAGCAACGCCGAGGCTGGCATCGGCCTTATCTGCGCCTGTCTGCCGGCGATCAACGCTCTGTGGACGCGTAAGATCAAGAGCTCCTCTGCCTACGCCGGGTACGCTGCCCACGACAGCCGCTCGGGCCTCGACGGATCGCAGCACGGCGGCATCATGCTGACGCGGTCGGTGCACATTCACTCGTCCAAGAGCGCGAAGGATACCACGGATTATGGGTTAGGCAACGACGAGGCGGGCTTGACGTCGGATATTCAGGCCAACCCCCACAGCAGCCGTGACAGCAACAGGTCAGATTCACTGAAATAACAAGCATATCGCGTTCAAGCATTTTCTCAAAAGTAGGTTCGTGTACTTTTCACGCATTCATTCCGGGTTGTACAGCGTTGCATGATAGGTAGAAAAAAGTCATAATGTAAGAAGAGTCCAGTTTACTTGACGGAGGCTGGCTGATCATGTCTGTTCCCAAGTACTCGGACGAGTGTCCGGATTATGCTTTTGACTTGCACCAGCCATGCTGAGCATGTCTAGCCCTAGAAACGTGGGTTCTCAGGGTCAAACTCAATCGTCCCTCGTTCAATCCATCGGATGCCTCCTGTCTGGGGATCCATGATGCAGGCATAATGCGTGCACTCATTGATGATGGGAAACTCCATCATCCAAGCCTGTAAGGCCTTTTCTCTCACGCCCTTTGTAGGTCGCACTTCTCGATGCTCAGTTCCCTCTCCGAGACACTGGCCGTTGGGCTCGTCCTTCTCTGTCTCGTGTTGACTGTCATTTCTACTACCGACCGTATGCAGCAGCCACTGCTGCTGCATCATGTCCATGCGCTCATTTGAGTCTTCCAGAAAGAGCTCGGCGCCGAGGAGAGTCGTTTGCGGCTCGCTCGGATCCGAGTCGGGATTCGGCTTTGGCCCGCAGCAGCGCGAGCCGTGGGTATCGTGGTTGGCTTGTACGATGAACTGGTTGGAGGTCTTGATCTTGCCAGTGTGGACGTCTTTCTCGATGACGGCCGACTCTTTGCCGTCGCAGAGCGTCAGATAGCATGGAGACGTTGCTTCCTTGGCCAATTGGTTTACCAACGAGACGAGTGGAGTTGGTGCGTTATCGCGCAATGATGTCTCAGAGAGTGGCCAGCGGCGTGGATTGAGAATGACCGATCGTAAGATGGACGAGATGGACGGCCGTAGCCCAAAGAGTACAAGGATTTGGTGCTTGCGCAGTGCAAGCTTTGAGCCTTCGTGTGTTGGCCGATAATTCAATGAGAGAGACAGGCCAGGTCTGTGGAAAGACGTCAGCAATTGAGCATGGAAACATCATGTCTCCTCTCTTACCTGACAGCCGTCAAAGTTCCAACAAAGCCGGCGTACGTAACGGACCGCGCGATGACTTGGTTGGGGTCCTCACGTGAGTCGACAAACTCGGCAATGATAAGCAGCTCCCTCAAGGGATCCATGGCCCAGTCGAGTGTTCGAAAGTGCATCAGGCGTCCGTTCCTTTCAGAAGCCTTGGGACGATGAGGCTCAGTCAAGATGCATCCCGCTGTGCAGCCCATCAGTGAGTCGAGCAGGACGTTGAGAGCGATGATGAGGTAGAGGTCTACACCTGCCACCTTGGCGATGCTCCGCGCTTCTCGATCCTGTTCGTCATCGTGCAACCGGCGCAATAGCGACCTGGCGAGAAATTTCACGCCGCGGCACAAGAGAGGGTACTTGAATATGGAGGCGAGCAGATCGTCGAAGATCTTGGTGACATCGCGCATCTGCGGCGCGAAATCGCGCGCTACCTCGTCGTATCGATGCTCGGGCGACAAAGCGACATCGATGCGGTAGATTGGTACGGGACCTTCTGGGAGAGGCATCTGAAATGTGAACCAGACGCAGATCCGAAGCAGTCCGAGGCGGTATGGAAAAGAGCAATATTCGTGGTGGCAGCGGGAGAGTGCGAGATTTCAGACGAGGCTGAGGTTGAGTCGGAGCTTCGGAAGGCGAGACCAACACAGCAGTGCCTGCCCTGCATCCTGCCATGCGCCCCAGTCTTAGCGTGCGTCTGCCCAGAACTCCGCCACGTAAGCCTCAACTGGACCTGGAGCTGTGGTCATGATAGCTGCTGCTGGCCTACTGTTGTGTCTTGGGTGGTTGGAGCCCCCCCCCCTCTCCCTAGGAATGTCACTCAAACCTCAATTCTGTACCCAGCCAGAGCCCATCAAAGGATCAGAGAACACCGGCCTGCAAGAGACAGGGTCCCCCGGTGCTGGCCCCGGATCGGGCCGCCATCGTTGGATCCACTTTACCCGGTCTCTGGCGACCCCATAGCGCACTTTATTGGGGTTCAGCGATGATCTAAAGGAACTTTGTTCACTTGTTAATGCTCAGTTAGCTTTCAATTGTGACGGGTTTTCTCGAAACTCCTCTGTGTAAGTTGTGAAATAAGTGGAACCTGTTCCCCCAGAACATCTCGACGCAAACAACGCGGTTGCATCAAGCGTAGTCAGTTATATAGTTTTGGCAAGTCCTGCTTCAAGAGAGAAAGAAGCGCTGGCTTTCGAACAAGAGAAAGAACCTGAGCTATTCAATATCCTATTCGAAGCTCTCCCTCCTTCAATCCGTGACAAACTACCACATTCTCGTCGTTCTCTTACCAACTTCAACACCTCGTCTGAATCTGAGATCAGAAACTCCAAGCTGCCAACTGTATAAAGACGAATACCGCATTCAGCCAAAGATCTGATGGCTCTCAACAAGACTGAACAATCATCTCTATGGGATCAAGATCAAGAAAGTTCGGACGGACAATGTGCTTGCTTCGTCC